CTAAAACCATGGCTATTGTGATACATAGCAGTCCTTACAGCAGAATAGGACGTTTAACTAATTTGTAGTGTGTTTTTAACACTTCTCTTGTGATACATAGCAGTCCTTACACCAGAATAAAACGTCTAACTAAGTTTTTAAGTGTTAAAAACTTACTACAACTTAGTTAAACGTTCTATTCTGCTGTAAGGACTGCTATGCATCACAATAGAAGTGTTAAAAACTTACTACAACTTAGTTAAACGTTCTATTCTGCTGTAAGGACTGCTATGCATCACAATAGAAGTGTTAAAAACTTACTACAACTTAGTTAAACGTTCTATTCTGCTGTAAGGGCTGCTATGTATCACTAGGGAAGTGTTAAAACATATTACAACTTAGTTAAATATTCTATTCTGTTGTAAGGGCTGCTATGTATCACTAGGGAAGTGTTATAACATACTACAACTTAGTTAAATATTCTATTCTGTTGTAAGGGCTACTATGTATCACTAGGGAAGTGTTATAACATACTACAACTTAGTTAAATATTCTATTCTGTTGTAAGGGAAGTGTTAAAAACGCTATAACTTTGTTTATACGTTATATTCTGCTGTAATCACTTATCGTGACAGAAAATGTGAAATGTTATATTCATCATAAAAATATAAAATAGTTTACAATATTAGAATCTTAGTATTCTTGCATCTATAATAATTAATAAATAATTTAATACGTTTTTATCTATTTCTCGTTTTCTCTACTAGGGCATTATTTCTTAGTGGACAGACATTTTATACTTCATTTTTAACAGACAAAAATAAATATTTACGACGTTAATATATTTTAAAATATCAGATTACGACAAAATACTATTTATGTGTAATTTTAGGACTAAAATCAAAACTGGAATAAGGGTGTTGGAAAGTGTATTAATTTATGAACGCAAAGCTACACAATGGGCTATCTGTGCAATGTTCACCAAGAGTATCGAACCCTCAATTTTAGCCACCAGAAGACTTGTCTGAAAACAAAATTTATTTAACTGTAGCCAGTGATTAGTGAGGATTACAAGAATTTTAATCAAAATAAATTATTTCACTAAATCGAAAAAAAAAGATATTTTGACTATTTTTGTTTCAATTATTTTGGTGTTTTTTTCCAGGTTAAAAAGTGAAAAGCAAAACTGAAGATTTTGGTAATAGTGCTCATAATATACAATTGTATTTCTTGTTACAAAAATATAAAATATGTTGTGTAAATCGCTTTCGACTGTTTAATAATAAAAACGCATTGTATAAACATCTACAATACATAATTGTTTTCCAAGTTCAAGTTTTTAAAAATATTTTTTTTTATCTTGTTTATTTTATTATTTCCAAAATCACGTATTTGCTAGAACTATTAATAAAAGCAGCATTTTCATGCATTTCCTGGAGTAATCCACCAGACAAGTGTTAGAGTGAAGAATATCTCGTTGGTGGAGCATGGCACTTAATAATAAAATTTGTGTAATAAAAGGGCCACAAAATACTTTTCAGTGATATTTTGTAAAGCCGTTGTCTGTATATAGAACACCTTAGAGAATATAGACAATTATTGAAGAGAATGGAAAACAAACTTGATGATAAAACGATGATGAAGTTTCTTTTCACAAAACACACGAACATGAATTATACCAAAACTAAATTAAAGTCTGTGGAACAACGTCAACGTTTTCATTTTTAAATTACATGTACTTTCTCAGAAAGTCATTCTTTTTGAAAAAGTGAAAATTATGTACAGTTTCCTAGAAAAGTTTATCAGCTCTTAGTAAACAAGATCTGTTAGAAAAGTGTTTTAACAAGGAAATATCCAAGGTATAATCTCTAAAGCTCTTAGTAAACAAGATTTGTTAGAAAAGTAGTTTGTAACAAGAAAATATCCAAGGTATAATCTCTAAAGCTCTTAGTAAACAAGATCTGTTAGAAAAGTGTTCTAACAAGGAAATATCCAAGGTATAATCTCTAAAGCTCTTAGTAAACAAGATCTGTTAGAAAAGTGTTCTAACAAGGAAATATCCAAGGTATAATCTCTAAAGCTCTTAGTAAACAAGATCTGTTAGAAAAGTGTTCTAACAAGGAAATATCCAAGGTATAATCTCTAAAGCTCTTAGGTAAACAAGATCTGTTAAGAAAAGTGTTTTAACAAGGAAATATCCAAGGTATATATTCCAACGTTCTTATTAAAGAAGATAACATAGGAAGAAGTTTTATACCAGGGAAATATCTATTCCCTAAAGTTCGTACTAAACAAAATACGTTTCAGTGAAACTTTAGGTAAAATCGACAAAGTAGGCTTGGAGTCTTTAATTGCCTGTTAAATGAAAATACGACCTGAAGAAAGCGTTGATGTAGAAGCCAAAATGTCGTCTTTTACTACAACGAACAGCTGTAGTTCATTAAAGTTCTCCAAAATAAGATCTGTTAGAAAAGTGTTGTATTGAAGGAAACTCCCATGTACTCTAACGTTGCACCAATATGCAACATTATGAAGCCTAACTTCTAGGATAAAATTCTTATTATTACTTCAGTAACTTATCTTTGTTGCTGAAGGTTCTCTCTAAACCTATTAGTTGGAATCAACCAAATTTTGTGAAAATGTAAGGTACCTTCGGATCGTCCCGTAGGTTCTAGCACTAGACAACTTTAAAGACCAAAATAAATTTTATGCACAACTCTAAATCTATAAACTACAATGACTAAATTGAAAAAACCAGTAGGTTATTGGTATTTAACTATTATAAATGAAAACTATAAGAACGAGCGAAATTAATACTACAAGTTGGTGAAATGTTCACATAGCTATTTATATTCATTATGTTAACGATTTTCTACTCCACTCTCTGCTTACTAAATGGTATTTGCGTCTGTTATGATTAAAGAATTGTATACAATCTTCCATTAAAGAATATTTGCGCTCATTAGGTATTTGTTGCACACCATCTGCTCCTCAAGTGCATCTTGTTTCTGCAATGGTTGAGTGATATTATATCACATACTTTATTACTTAATGGAAAATTCTGGTTGGTTAATGTCAAATAATTTTAATATCACACCCAACACTACCAGTTGTATCCTACAATTAAATGTTGATATTTTCTTTAATCATTTGAAATTCATATTTATTTAGTTGTTTGCACATTTTTGGTTAGTAATTGTTACACATACACGACTGTTTTATTAAATTTAATGCGAGCGTTATGATTTAGATAGTAATAGAACGCGAATGTTAAGGTAAGACATTTATAGAAGCAATAGTAAGGGCAGGTTTGCTTACGTAACTGTTTACGAATTATTTGTTGCGCAGTTCAATTGTTGTGAATTGACGTCACGTTACTTGAACCTTCTGAATTTTTTTCGTTATTTTAAGTGAGTATCGTTACATCATAACGTCTCGTAGTTTGTAGAAAGTTCTAGGCCTCAGTCGGGCAACATGTATATAGGTGACCAAGTTAATAAAAGTAAGTTAGTGAAATTGAAAGTAAAAGCGAAGCTACACTGAGTATCAGTTTAACTGTAACGGGTGATTTCTAAAGTGTAATAATATTGTAATAACAGGTACAGAGGAGAATAGTCTGTCAAAAGGTGTTCTAAAGTAATTGAACCTGTGTATTTTGACGAAAAAGAGGCAACTATTTAAAGCTGTGGATACAACTGTGGTAACAAATAGTGTAGAGAAATTACGTTTGAATTGTTTGTTTGTAATTAAGCACAAGGCTACACAATGAACTATCTGTGCTCTGCCCACCACGGGCATCGAAACCCGGATTCTAGCGTTGTAAGTCCGCAGACATACCACTGTGCCACTGGGGGGTTTTGAGTTGTTTTGAATATATATTGTTTTAAAACAATTGGATTATGTGCTGTCCGTTTATTTTGACATTTATCACTAAAAGAGTCACAGACACCTATTGTTAAGAATCCCGGCTCTATAAACCTGACAGTAATTAGTTTTAACTTTAATATGTTGATTGATTAGTTTATTATAATTCCAATTCTTTGTCTGTGAGAGTTTAATTTGTAAGTAAACTTTCACAGAATGATAGATGTTTTTGCTGATTTTTGACAATTATTCAAATAAGTTCAACCTCAATGGCGAGTTAGGCGTGCATGGGGTAAATAGCCAGAAGTTCTGCAGACTTACAACGCTAGAAACCAGGTTTCGATACCCGTGGTGGGCAGAGCACAAATAGCTCATTGTGTAGCTTTGTGCTTATCTACAAAGAAACATTATTATAGCACAAATGCAACTGAACCGTAATATACTCAGCAACAGCCTGTCACGAACCTTAGACTTCCTGCTCCATTGCCCATCACGCTAACCACTAGTCCACGTCTTTATTATATGCTTTTAAAGTTAATGTTCCTTCATATAATTCTGCTGGTAATATATGTTCATTTTAGGCATAGACTTCTAAACATAAAGCTATTTTCTTACCATTTGTATGTGTATCATAGTTTAAGACTTTCCAACCGTATAACATGATTTGCTGTATTTAGTTACTAGTTTTACGACATTAGCTTTTGTTTCTGTTTGTCCTTTGTAATGATAATGCTGAAATTTGTGATAAATTACCTTAGATAGAAAGCCTTTATATGTAAACTTTAAATAGTTAAAGTTCAGATATACAAAAGCCGAGCAGCTTGTTCAGCTGTATTTATCACTATGGACATATTTCAAGTATTATCAGACAACTCAGTTTATATTTAATTTCTTGTAACTAGTATGTTTCATTTATAAATAGAATCTCTTTGTATTTTAACATAAGAATCTCATGTAAAAAAGTATGAATACTTCTAAAAAAAGCCGTTTTGATTTTAATTAATTTTTGACTGAGACTCGGACCATATCATGATTTTTAAAGTTTTAAACTATGATACGTCAGCTTATAAAACATCAGAATTTTACATAAAAATAAGAAAAAAATGTGCCGTTACTTTAAATCAAAGTTGTGTCAATGCAAGTAACGTCATGCTTACCAATACAACCACGTGGTTCGTCGCTGCCGTCTCCACAGTCCTCCCTGCCGTTACAATACATATTCTGTCGAACGCATTTGCCATTATCGCAAGAAAATTCTGAGAGACCACATAATGCAGATGGTTGTGGCGCCCTCATTTCTATGATGATTATAACAATAAGGAGAAGTGTATACGGGCATAATGTCGTCATTGTGTCATTACTCCCCGTGAGAATTTGTGTAATTTGGTGACCTTTGGGTAGTCATCGAGAATTTCTGTGAAAAAAAAAAGACAAGAAAGAAGCAAAACAAAAATATTTAATTATATTTCACTTGTTTTACATTATGCCATCGTAAGTGATAGTCCGATTAACTTTCAGTAGTTAAAACAATATGCTGTTTTATTTGACATTATGTTACCATAACTGACTTCATGATCATCTTTCGATGGATGAAACAGCTTTTGCTACTACAGAATATTTTTATTTAAAGTTCTCGCGGAATAATCACAAAAGAAACACAATATTAAGATTCAGTTTAAATATATAAATTAATAATTTCATATAAAACATATAGGGTTTGGTTTGCGGTAAAAGTTCAAGATAAGAAACTGTGTTTCGATGAACTGGTTAAAATGGTTTGGTCTAAAGTAAACATTTTAAGCTAAGGAATTGTTTATCGATGAACTGGTTGAACGGATTTGGTCTAAGGTAAACATTTTAAGATAAGGAATTGTTTATCGATGAACTAGTTAAAAGGGTTTGGTCTAAGGTAAACATTTTAATATAAGGAATTGTTTATCGATGAACTGGTTAAAAGGGTTTGGTCTAAGGTAAACATTTTAATATAAGGAATTGTTTATCGATGAACTGGTTAAAGGGTTTGGTCTAAGGTAAACATTTTAAGATAAGGAATTGCTTATCGATGAACTGGTCAATAATTCCTCAACACAGTCACATAATTACGTTTAAAGTAAAATACGCATTTCATTACACAAAGTGGAGTTTCCAGAAAGCATTAATAATTTCCTATAGGAATCATAAGAATAAGGTTAAGGTAACACATGCTGGATAAAATGTAGTGTTCTTTACCAATGAATCAGTAATTTATCACAGAAATTATAGGAATAACTTTAAAATAAACGACTGATGAGAAGATACAGTGTTCAGTCTTCAGCTAATTACGACCAAATCATTTTACCCTGACAACCATGTAGCAAGAGAGTTTATTTAAGGACTACTACTGATTACTGCTAGACAACATTATTGTAACATTCACGTAATAACAAGGCCTATTCAGTTTATTTTATTTTGTTTGTTTTTTAAGTTAAGCACGAAGCTACACAATTGACTATCTGTGCTCTGCCCACCACGGGTATCGAAACCCGGTTTCTAGAGTTGTAAGTCCGCAGACATATCGCTATGCCACTTGGGAGGGATGCGCGTTACAGAAGAAAACAGTTGTGGTATAGAATTGATTTTCTGCCTCTTCCAGTTGTTTGGGGGGCGGCGTATTCAGGAACTTTCATGTTGATTCTTATAGATAATTATTGTAACAATAACGTGATAGCAGGGCTTATTTAAGGGCTTCTACTGACTGCTAGACAACCTTATTGTAACATTCACATGATAACAGGGCCTATTTAAAGACTTCACAAGAAGACTCGTCAAGAAATTAATGTCTCTTTTTTTAATCGATGAAAAAAAAAACCCGAACAACTTATATATCAAAACAAAACATTTATTAAATTAAATAGTCTCCATTATTATCGATGATGCTTTTCCATCTCACAATCAGGTTGTTAATGTCGTGATTAAAGAAACCACTTGGCATTAAAGCAAAAAACATGTCGATGTCTTCTTTAACACCTTCCACATTTGCATACGTTTTCCCATTAAGATGGTGTTGCAGCGAACGAAAAAGATGGTAATCTGATGGTGCAATATCTGAAGAATATGGTAGGTGGGGGGAGAACTTCCCAACCGAACTCCATAATCTTGTGTTGCGTTAAACATGCCACATGTGGACGTGCATTGTTGTGGAGAAGAAGAACA